TGCTGCTTCCGCTCAGATACACAGCAACCAGGCCACTTAATCCACCGCTCCGAGTTGGCATGGAAGGGGCTCTTCATAGAAAAGTATGTTAGTTATCCTGCAATGATCTACATTCAAGTGACCCAGGAATGGGCTGTCCTAAATAATTTATCTAAAAATAGCCAGTGGTTTGGGGCAGGCTTCTCACTCCCCGAGCAATCTTGCAGAGCTCCTTTTACAATGCAGAAAGTAAACAGAACAACGTCAATGCCAATACACTCGCAGGAGACCACAGCCTAGCAGAAGTTGGGAAAGTGAAGGTGGAAAGTTTTCTAAGAGTACCTGCAGAAAAGCAGTCTAACCCCAAAGAATCTTCATGTAAGATGGGGGGAAAAAAATGGAAGAAAATGAGGGACAGCGGAAGATAAAGCGTGTGTGCATGTGCGCGTGCGTACACAAGGCGGGGAAGGAGAGAATGGGAAGGAAAGACTGAGAGAGAGCATTCCTGTTAGCGGCCTAAAGCATGCTCAGTGGGGAATTTCCCGGCTGCAGGTTGGAGTGTTGGGGGTGTTTCCCCTGCATAGCATGTGTGGTCTGACCAGGCAGCGTTCCAGACCCCACAGGGAAAAACACATCTCCTTAGAGTAGGTTTGGTTTGTAAACGGGTATGGCCTTTCAACTTTCGTGCCATAGTGTTGCAGTTTACTGATAAGGACATTTGACAGTCTGTGACTCTTCTAGTGTGGAGGGAGTTTCTGGAACAGTGAGTGAATGTTTTCGTAACTAGCCCCTACAGGCCTCTTGCCCTGAAAAATCAGGACTAGAGGGAATGGGTAAGAACTTGAATCACTCTTCACTGTGTACCTAACCCACCTCTTGATGGTGCTAAGGGGAGGGGCTCCTGGGGAAACGGGACTTTGCAGCCAAGGCTTCTATCACAATATGAAAACGACCAGATTTTGTTGAATTGTGTTGTTTGTTTTTTAAGTGGTGGCCACTCTGCTCACTTGATGACTTGAACTCTATGAAAGTCCTTTCCAGTCCTGCATGAGTTCACTTCCGCCTTTCACCCTGCTGGCTCACAGCAGCTAGTTGGGGGGAGGAGCAGAGACCTGACTCTCGCAAAGGGAAATCCAGGTGGAAGATCTGTAGCCAGGCATGGCAATCTCTTTGAATTCCTTAATGGATCAGGTAGAAGTGAATTCAAGCCAACACCAAGGGATCAGTATATGAGTGAAACGACTCAGGTGCTATGTTTGGAACCATTCCTTTCCATAGATAAAGGAGCTAGAACTCCCCAATCCCTACCTCGCAGCAGCCTCGGTTCCAAAGCATTCTCCTCCCCACTCGCATGTTTCCCTTCCTGGCAGGGGCCCAGCCTCATGTGTCCAATCCCCACCCTGGACACCAGCAGCACTTGGAGTCCCCTCTACAATGCCCCGCTTTCTTTTCTGCTGTTTTGGCATGGACGGGTCTTTGCTTCCCAACCATGGTGAAGGGCCTTGATTGTAGATACCTGATCCCATACATCTTCATTTTTCAAAGTCCTCAGTGTGGTTCCCGGGCACCTTGTAAATCCCCTTTATAAGTGATGGTTGGTTGATTGGTTGGTTAATGAAGACGGCCCTTGGAAGAACAAGGTAAATCAGCCTTCCCCCCTCTGAGTAATGCCTATCACAGAAAACACGAGCCTCAAATTTCAAATCAGATTTTCGCATTCATGAGAAATCCTCCTGAGTTCCCATCAAAGTGGTGAGCTGGCGATGCAGGCAAACAGCCAGAGAGTGTATATCCAGTCAACTAGGATCCATTACTAGCCTGTTAGAAGAGGTTAGTGATGATATGGTGGTAATTGCGGTGTCCTGTCTATATCCAAAGAACTCGCTGCTTGAGGGTGGGAGGCCTCCTCTGGCCCTAACACAGTACTGAGAGTCAGAATTCAGGCTTTGGAGTCAAACTGGCCTGAGATTGAATCTACACAGGGTCCCAGAGGAAATCGGGTCATAGGAGCACAAAGGTTGAAAGTGGAAGTTGTGTGGGTGGTAAGATCTGTTCCTGATCTGTGTTATCCTATAGGTGTGGCCCATTCCACTCTCCCTCGTCCATCTCCCACTCACAGATACACCCACCCACTGAACCGGAGTCCTAAAAGGTCCTCTCCAAGTTTGTCCTTTACAAAAAAGAACAATTCAATTCAATTCCGAGTCCCTGGTCCCTACATGCTTTTGCTGTCTTTTGCTATCAGGGCGGTGCTGCCTCCCCTCTGTGTCTTGAGCTCACCATTTCTCCCTCCTCTCTACCCTTGCCTTTTCTAGCTAGAACTACAGGGACCTGGCGGGAGAGCCACACTCCTTTCCTGCCAACATCCTGAGGAAACCGGCTCAGGTTTACCTATTGGGTTTAACAGAAAAGGAAAGTGGCCCGTGAAGGGCAAAGGGGCTTTTAAGAAAAAAAGCTCTTTATCAAACACAGATATCAAGAATATTAGCAAAGGGACTAGAGAAAATTGCTATCAAAGTAAATTGCTTTTTGTACAAATGTTCCCTTTATTTGGGTTTTCCCCAGTGTGCCATTCTTTCTTTAAGGCTTGGTGAACAGATGCGCTTTTGAAAATGTTGATTAACTTATCCTTTTGTCGACCCCTTCCCACTCACCTAAACTCCTGGGAGCAGTGATTATACAAAAAGCCAAGTCAAGCCTCTACAGTGTTCTTCTTCACCTTGAGTAGCCTTTCATTCTCCAGGTGCAGAAATCTCAGCCACATCTGGGCAATCAATTTCAGAGAACCTTAGAAATGGACCGGTTCTTGCAAGGTCATCTCATCCAGTCCTCTATCTCCAGAGACAAGAGGCCGTGATCTCCTGGGGCGAAATGTTCTCATACTCATTACCATCCTTTTACCCTTTATCCTTCAAGATCAATGCCACATACACCCCTTTCTAGCCGTGATCAATAGTGTCCTAAGAGTTCTTCCCTGAGGGTATGAGATGGAGCAAAATGGCATTCTAGCCTCCAAGAATCTGTCACATCCTTGGCAGAAACCAAATCCCTAAAAGCAAGAACAGGATTTGGCCCAAAATTCACTGGCAAGAGCCCCACAGTTTTTGTGCTAGGCAGATTCCCATATTCTTATCCAGTGTTCTGCATCTTTTAACCGTGAAGGTGTTAAGGCTTATGAGCATCTCATCAAAACAATTAATTGTTGGAAATGTGATGGTTTTCATCCATGTTTGTTTGTTTCATACGGTTAAAAAAAAGTCTCCAGGTTGACTTTCACAAGCTCGGTTTGATCCCTATGACGGACACCACCTGCCTCTCGTTGATTCATATTCACATCTTCATTTCAAGGAAACAGCCTGCATCGTAGGGGTCTGGAGAATAATGCAGGGATGGGCATTGAGGTGGGGAAGATGGCGTGACCTGCAGGTGCCAATTGCTGGGCTATAAACATGCCAGAAACAGGCTGGATTTATGGCAAATCAGTGCCACATGGCATTGATCCTTTCAAGTGGGGGTCTTGGCAAGTTGTTTTGTTGCATCCCTTGCTGGTGATCAGGGGGATCAGAATGTGCTTTAGCACTTTGGTCAGGAATGAGGAAGACTTCTATCTAACATGATTAAAAACACGGCCTCCAGGAAAAGACTGAATTTCGAGCGTGGCAGTGATAGATCAATCCTCAGTTCGGGTCATGGTCAAGTAGATCTTCTCTGAGATGTGCTGATGAGGGAAAAGTTCAGGCCGGTCTGAAGTTCTTTCTTTTTTTTTTTTCCTCTTGTTTGATAGTTTTAGCTGTCTGGAATTTGGGCTTGGCTTAAGCCTGGGTTTTTAGGTATCAATTTATAGTGCTGACCTCAAGGTTGTTCACCTGACTTGGGGTTCAATAAAACTCCTAAAGGGCCCATATGCTCGCTGGTGCCATCCTGAGCTGACGGCCAGGGCAGGCATAATTAACTTGTGAGAAAGAAAGAAATGATAAATCACCACGTTTTGATTCTCTTCTTTGATGTTTTACCATTTTAGACAGGTAATTTTCATTGGCTCTGATTTCTATAAGATGGACAGCATAGTGAATAGAGAGACTGTCTTTCCCACCTCCCCCCAAAAATTATCATAAAAAAAGAAGATAGACAGCGATAACACTGGAGAAAATTCACAGTAAATTTTTTTTTTTTTTTTAAAGATTTTTCATTTATCTGACAGAGAGAGAGGGAACACAAGCGGGGGGAGCGGGAGAGGGAGAAGCAGGCCCCCCACAGAGCAGGGAGCCCAATGCGGGGCTCGATCCCAGGACCCTGGGATCATGACCTGGGCCGAAGGCAGACGCCTAACGACTGAGCCACCCAGGCGCCCCTCACAGTAGATTAACTTAGCTCTATTCAAGCCTGGGCTAGTCAGATTGGATGCCCGTGTTTGACCTATTCTAAGCCATAAAGAAAGCCAGTAGGAAAAGTAGACTGAGGAGGAAAGACGAGAGAGATTAGCACAGATATGTGGAGGTGGTCAGGCATTATGACATTCTTTGCAGTTCTACTTCTACATTAAAACATAAGATGATGAAGTGTGACTTTGTTAAATTGCCATACATTTATTTGAAATCCAGGAGAAAGACCCTCGTAGTATATGTCTGCTTAGATGCATGCATATGAGGAGGGTCAGTTATACTATATAAACATCACAGTAATGGCAACTGATGATGGGCATGCCATCCAGGTTGCCTTGGATAAATGCAAACCTATATTGGCAATGAACTACTGTCATTACAACAACACAAGTGAGGATTTTCTTGACGCGAAAAACCTTTTTTGTTTCTTTTCTTCTGGTTGCTGTTAGAAATAAAGACAAATCGTTTGAAGGGGAAAGAATCCAGTAATGTACGTACTAAATGATCTAGAAGCAGATGTGATTCTTTAGCTGCCTACTGTACCAGGGAGTCACTCTGAGGAAGGTTGCATCTCTGCCTGTTAGCCATGGCGATAGAACTCGTTATAACTTGATTTGTTTGTTTTCTTTTTCATTATAGTGGACATTCCAGAAATACATGGGAGAGAAGGCTATGAAGATGAAATTGATGGTGAGTATTGGTATGATTTAGCAGATAATCATGAAATTCAAGTTTGGTTATAAAGACGTCAACAAAAGTAATGCCCGGGGTATTGGAAGGCCAGGATTTAGAACTACCAGTCAGAAATATAAGTGAAAAGAATCCAGAGAGGAATGACGAAACCATCCATTGCTTTGTCAAGGTCAAATTTAGAAATTTAGAAAGTTTATCGAGTTCCCTCTGCCTAATCTGAAACAGGTCCCCTACGTAAGGCAACTTTTGACATTGATGGACTTCAAATCTGGATAAACCCTTTAGAAGTAAAAGCCAGGTTCCCCTATATGTGTCACTGCTTGAACCCATTGACCTCTTCCCAAAAAAGGACTTGAGAAAATGAGTATAAATGTGAATATTCTCCTAGGCTTTCTGTGGTTTCCTGTTCCCTGGCTTGAGGGGAGCCTTTCTCACACTATCCAAGACTCCAAGTTGGGGCCCACTGCAAGATTTAGGTTTCCTTTCTACAATGCCCATCTTGTATTTTCATACTTATTAGAAGCTCTATTCTCCCACTTCAAATACACATACTTCAGGGGGCTGAAGCAAGAGCCCTGACTGGAGGGCCACCGAGCAAACATGTAGATATAATTTCTCCCCTTGACTCAGGGCAGCACAGGTCTCTCTGGGCTTCTCTGAGTGCCAGAACTGATCTCCAAGACAGATCACCAAGGTTTCCCTCAAAGAACAACTTTAGACCAAGATTGATGCATTTAAGAAGAGCAGTTTATAGAACAGCTGCTTTTAACCTGACCTTAATCAAACACTTCAAGTGCAGTTATAGAAACAGAGTGACTAACCCAAACAGCACCTTGTTAACTCAATGCAGACTCTCCCGCAAAACCCCATCTAGCACTCCTTTTATGGACAAAGCTGGGGAACTGGCCTACAGGGAGAGGCTGCTGTAGGTCAAGCAGCTGAAGCTCTATGAGGCATAGAGAGAGCAGGGTGTGAGGATGCAGAAAGCCTGAGTCCTATTCCTAGTTTCACTGCTTGCTAATTCCAGGACCTTGAGGGAGTTACCTAGCCACCTAATTTCTTTTAAGAAAAACCTGAGTTTCTTCATCTATTAAAAAAAAAAAATTATAATAGCACCCTGTCTTCTTCATGGGATTATTAGGAAATCCCACAAAATGAGCTGTGGATGTGGTCATGCGTTGGCCACACTATGGAAACCTGAGTATATTAGTCTGCTAGGGCTGCCATAACAAAGTACCACAAACTGGGCGTCATAAACAACAGAAATGTATTTTCTCACCTTTCTGGAGGCTAGAAGTCCCAGATAAGGTGTCAGCAGGGTTGGTTCCTTCTGAGGACCATGAGGCTTATAGATGGTTATCTCCGTGTTTTCAAGGCAATCTCCCATCTGTGTCTGTCTCCAAATTTTCCCTTTTAATATGGACACCATCCATATTGGATTGGGGTCCACCCTAATGAGCTCATGTTAAGTTGATTATTTCTATAAAGACCTATCTCCAAATAAGGTCACATTCTGAGGTACTAGGGGTTAGAACTGCAACATATGAGCCTTGGGGGACGTAATTCAACCCATAACAGTTAGGTAAGATGTATGTCAAGTGAGGTGTGGTGGCTCGGAAAAAAGTCTGCAGCTTGGACGGCCAGGGATGCTACATTGGGAAACTTGTCATGTAAAAAATAGTCTCAGCCTGTCCTTTGGTTTAACTTGAAGCAAATGGAAGTGGGGGATGAGGGGGCAAAGAAAGAAGCATGCCCAGAACACAGGACCACCCCAGTGCTCCAAAGGCACCCCGAAGCTTCTGTCAAAATCCGAACTTCCCTAGTAGGAATTAAATTATTTAAATATCAAATACTTAGACCATACTAGGTATGTGCTGGACACCAAGAACTTTACAAATATTAATTCATTTAATTCTCCTAGCAACCCAGTGAGGGATACATAAGAGTACCCCCGGTTTATAGAGGAGGGGACTGAGGCAAAGAGGGGTTAAATAACATGCCCAAAGTTACACAGCCAGGATGTGATGAGGGTGGGCTTTGACGCCAGCCAGCATAGTTCCAGAGTCCCCCCGATCGTCCCGGTGCTCTGGAGACCCTGTCAACCGGGCTGGGGAGGCTCAGTTACTTCACCTTGAAAGGGGCAGCGCCTGCAATCTCTCGTGTGCTTTATGTCACAGATGAGTACGAGGTGGATTGGAGCAACTCTTCTTCCCCAACCTCAGGGTCTGGGGCCCCTTCGGCCGACAAAGAAAAGAGCTGGCTCTACACACTGGATCCCATCCTCATCACCATTATCGCCATGAGCTCCCTGGGCGTCCTCCTGGGGGCCACGTGTGCGGGGCTTCTGCTCTACTGTACCTGCTCCTACTCGGGGCTGAGCTCCCGCAGCTGCACCACCCTGGAGAACTACAACTTTGAGCTCTACGATGGCCTCAAGCACAAGGTCAAGATGAACCACCAGAAGTGCTGCTCCGAAGCATGACAGATTGCATCCAAATCACATCTGACGTTTCATTCCAGCAAGAGGGGCTAGTGGAGATTACATTTTTTTTTTCCCTTTGGAAATTGAATGCCATAATCTCAATCAAACCGATCCAGAATACCGAAGGTGTGGACAGAATGGACAGACGAGTCGAGGGAGGCGGGGAGATTGCGGCCGCACAGGGGGCTAGGACCCACCTGGGAGTGGCGCAGCTGAGTCATTGCTGGGACTAAGACAGGAGCTTATCTCTTGGGGTCACAGTTCTATTTTGTTTGTGAGTTTGTTATTATTATATATTTTATTTCTTTGGTCTGTGAGCAACTCCAAGAGGCAGAAGAGAAGAATGACTTTTCCAGGATAGAAGCAGAGTAGTGGTCAGTGGTACTCTGCTCTCTCATTCTAATCAACACTTGAAAAGCAAAAGGTCTTTTCAGACTTTTCATCTTTTAGAAAAAAACAAACAAACAAAAAAAACCGTCCGACTTACCCTGTCCTCTGATCGTCTTATGACTCCCGGGATTTGCTGTGGTGTAGGTCCTTCCAGCCAATCCTACAAGCTGCCGTTTCCAGTCCTAGCATTTAAGTAGGATGTTGTTGCCTTTAACTTTTTTTATCCAGGGGAAAATTGCCATTTTTGGGTCAGGATGAATAGCTCTTTCTTATATGTGATTTAAAACCAGAAAGGAAACTTCACACGTCAAAATCCATAGAAGCACCTCCATGTTAGAAGCGGACAAGCCTTAACATGCTTCGTGACTAGGAGCCATTCATTAAATCTAGACCCAGAATTTGTGGCTGTGAGGCCACTGCGTGGGGCCTCTGGTGGTGGATTTGCTTTTTCTTTTGCCTCCTCCTGGTTCTTCTAAAACATATACATACACACACACATACACATGCACACACACACATTCATCAGGTGTCTACTCCCCAAGACGTAGCATTGTTGGATATCTTCAGAGATGGAGGGAGGGTGCAAAGACTGGCTGTTAGTATGTTTTCTCCATCGGTGAGATGTAACTGGTGACCACTGGACGAAAAGGAGAACAGTGGAGAGGGAAAAAGAAGTCCAACTTCTGTGATTGTGTCATGGCAAAGGCTAAGCAGACTCTACAGAGACATTTTGATGAAGTAGTCTCTTTGATAGGCTAGTAAACATTGAGTTTTCCTTGGGGTAAGAGCCCCCACCTCAGCATTTCAGGAGAGTCAGGTAGGATGTTTGCGAGCTGATTTTAACCAGAAGTGTGCAAGTACTATGGACCAAAACACTAACAACACTGCTTCAACCCCAGAGAGATCTATGTTCTTACACACACACACACACACACACACACACAATTTATGTGTTTTTTATTAAGTGCCTTGAAACAATGAAGAAAAACTGTATTTTCCCTCTATGTAGAAATCAGTGAATATCATAAAAGTAAGGCATTCCTTCTTCCCAAACCCCCGTGACTCCACCGCCGGTTCCCCTAGCTCACTGCTGATCCTATTAACGGATTGAGCCCTGCTGCCGGAGAGGTAGGCATGGCCCTAGATGACTCTCAACTACTCCAGGACGGGAGGCATTAAACTGTGTGAAGGATAAGATTGTCCACGTCAAGATCCAAATCTTGATATCGTAGTAATGCCTAAAGATTGCCTGTGTGCTGGAAATACATTTGAAACCCAACCAGTATGCCCAGCCCATTGCTTATCAGTGGTAAACTGTCAGACCATTTTTGCTGCTATGGTCACCCACAATTTCATTTGTCTCCTACCCAGGTGAAAGGAAAAGGGTGAATGGGACTGGCTGGTTCCTTTCAATGTTAACTTATGGAAATGCTAGTTCAAACGGTAATGTCACAGTGTTTTGTATGCGGAGAGGGCAAGTCCAGACCAACAGCTATTTATTCATATGTGTGTGTGTCTTTGCAAGCCTTTGAGTTCTCTGTATCTACTGTGTATGTGAATGGTCATGTGGGACTCCGTGATGTTGTTGTGACTTTGACCTAGGGCCCCGAGTATAACTGCTGATCTCGGCACTCGTTGGCACAGGGGTAGTTACAGGTGAAAAGTAAAGCTGTCAAGCCCAAGGGCTTAGCTTTAGGACCTACCCCCCCAAGCTGGGCATGCAGCAGAAGCAAGTTCTTAACGCTTTATCGAAAACAAGTTTTTAATTAGCCCACCCTCCTCTTCGCCTTCCCACGTAGCTCAGTGTTCAGGAAGCTAGCAAGTCCTAGGGATTTCCAGAAGTTGCCTGCAGAAGAAGAGAAGTTCAAAAGCTTACCCTGGGGGTCCGGGCCCTCTCACGCTCTGTGGGTCCTTATACAGTGCCCCCCACCCAAGACCAGCCCTGTCTTCAGCCTGCAGTTCACCTCTAAGTTACGCACAAGCCAACCTGCATCCCCATGACAGTCCTCCATCCATACTCACCATTGGCTGGTTTGAAGCCCTGGGTGGGCCCTGCTACAGAAAAGCAGGCCACCCAGGGCTACGTGTAGATACCTCACCAACACTGGAGACTGGTCTATTGTAAGACAGAAAGACAGTGGGGCCTGGTTCTAACTCGGCCAGGGGGCACCCTGGTGCATTTGTTGTCTCTATCTGCAGGTGGGCTAGCTGACCCGTCTCCTTGAGTCATTCCCTTTGGGAAACCCAACTTACAGTATTGATCTATTTTGCCTTGTATTGAAAGACACATTACCTCCACGCTCTCCCGGACTAGGCAGTCAACAGGGCCACAGGCTTGCTTTCTCTCTCCGGTGGGGATGGGGAGTCAACAGGGATGAGGGTCCGAGGAATGAGCATGAATGCAAGAAAACAAGGAGAAAAGTTAAACGGTCACACAGAAGGTTAACTTTTCCAGGGTTTGCAGTTAAAGATATTCGACCATTTGCTGGCTGAGCCAGATCACGGGAACTTGAGAGCTTTTACTGTGATTCTTCAATGTAAAAAATAAACAACAAGGTCAAACTGTGTTTATATGATTTGTATAAAGCCTTTTTAAGATTGCTATTTAAATAAACATTATACCAGAGATATTTTCTGCATGTTTTTTGTTGGAGACAAAGAGACTTGGGTTTAGGGTGACCAAGTCATCCCAGTTTGCCCAAGACTTTCTTGAGTGTTAGCTCTGAAAATCCCTGGAAACCCCTCAATCCCAGCCAAACCAGGATGGTTAGTTGTTCTCCTGGGACAGTGTTTCTTAACCCTTCTTATGGAGTTAGTAGGTTGGTTGGCTGGCTGGCTTTTTATAAAATGAAAATATGATGGGGATGGGGGTTGGGCTACCTGGCCAGGTGGGCTGCTTTAACTCAAAGACTTGGCTGGTAGATTTCTGAGACTGTCATCCCTGTAAAACCTCTTCCTCCCAAGACATCGCCAATGCCCTGCAACTTTGGACTCTTCGCTGCTTCCTTCCTGTGCAAACATTTGCTTGTCAATATCTGTGGTGATTCTAAGGTCTGTGGCCGTGCTTCTCAACGTGTGGTCCCTAGACCAGTGGATTAGCATCACTTGGGAACTTGTCAGAGGTGTACATTCTTGGGCTCTGCTCCAGATCTACTGAATCAAAAACTCTGGGAGGAGGGCCTAGGGCTCTGTGTTTTAACCAGCTTTCTAGGGGCTTCTGGTATACTTTCAAGTTTAAGAACCTCTGGTCTAGGAGAAAGGAAAAGTAGCCTGGCCTCCCAAAACCAATAGGGATCTTTTCACCTGTGGGTTTTCGGATTCGAAAAAAACTAGACTTTGGCCCAGGAAAGCTAAAGGAGGCCGTTCACTTCTAGGTAGTACAAGTTCCCAAGGGAGGAGGAAGGAGAAGCTTTATTATGAACTTCCCACACATACACACATGAATAGGAGTCAACAACCAAATTTGCCCCCATCTGGGGTTCTGTTCCCCCCGGAAAGAAAATTTGGCTCAATCATTTACTCAGGAAATGTTTTTGAGCACTTCCTGATTCTGTAAACTCTTGGAGCTTACACTCCAGTGAAGGGGACTGAGAGCCAATAGCCAAACACATAAAATAAGGATTGGTTACATAAATGTGGTGAAGGCAGTAAACAGGTAGCTCTGATAGAAAATTACTAGACAGTAAAAGTGTAATATTTGTGTTACGTGAGTTTGTATTTGCAAAACACGTCTCTTTGTTACTGATGTTACAGGATTTGCTGTAATTAAATACAATGGTCTTTTATAGTCAACAACACTTGCCATAATGAAACCTAATGAATCTGAAATCTACTACAATATAGTTCTTTAAAACTCCTTTTAAAAAGAATTACTAGGGTTACTCCCACTAAATGGTTGACCAGGGAAGGCCTCTCTGAGGAGGTAATATTTAAGCTAAAACCTGAAGAGATAAGGAGGAGCTGGCTCAGCCAAGTGCCTGGGAGATGCTTTCCAAATTGAAGGAACAGCATTGAGAGATCCCCACTGTGGGAAAGAGTTTGCTGCACCCCTAGGAACTCAAAGCAGTGGGAAAAGTGTGGAGAAGAAGCTGGGGAGCAGAGTAAGACCCTTTCAGGCACGGGGCGGTGGGGGGGCGGAGCACTGTCTGATCCATATCACTTTTCGGCTTTCCTTAGTTTATAGAAAAGACAGCTCCCCCCCACCAGGCCCCTCACCCCCACCCCCACTTTCTTCCCACTCCTCACTGACCAGTCAGGTCACCACAGTCAAATTGCTGCAATTTCCCTCTCTGCCCCTCTGTGATCTTTATGATATCATGTGTCTCCTGAGATGCCTGCTTCTATCATATTACTGACCTTAGCAGCAATAACAAAGGTTAAAATGAAAGCAAATTTTTACTTTCCTTTAGTTGAGCTTTTGGGGATTTTTAAAGCCCTAATAAACTAATAGTATCTCCTGATCCCTAGCCATCTAGTGTTTACATAAGGTCTTTTTTTTTTCTTTTTCCATATCTGCATCCTTCTGGAAATGTTTATACAATTCTCAGGGGAGGGAGTGAAATGAAGTTGGAACAGGCCCATCCTTGAGGGAAACAGGACCCATCTGGATGCTGAGGTGCCCTTGTCTCTGCAACGTTGGTGGTAGCGATGGGGGAGGCAGGGGAGCCTGAAGAAGAAATGGAAAGATGACTCTAATCCCAGGCTGAGCTAAACAAATTCCTGGGGAAGTGTTTCTCTCCCCCCACCCCCGGCCCCCACCCCAGCCCACCAGGAGACTGGGTGTGAGATGAGGTGATGGTCAGGCTAGGAAACGCTACCTGCGTGGGGCCTCGGAGACTCCTCCCGTCCACCGTGGGCTTCCCAGGAACTGTAACTCTCGCTCCCTGAGAAGCCTGAGGACTGAGAGGCAGAGGCACTGCTTGCTTCTGAATTTCCACCTCTCAGAATATCCCAGGCCTTTCAGCCTGCAAGGCTGGGCCTCCTCATTCCTTCGTTGGATCCTCAGAGGAGCTCCTGGAGGAAGAGCATGCCTTCTGTGTTCTCCCTGAAGACTGAGGTGAGAGACCTGTGAGGGAGGTTCTGCAGTTGTTTCAGCCGCTTATCCAGAGAATAACACCTGTTTCCTCTCTCTTCCCTGCCAGAAAACCCCATCCCACACCTGTGAGCCTTCCCTCATCCCCCCTCTGGCCCTGTGGCACCAGGTTAGCAGCCCCCCCGCCACTTCTCCATGGAGGACCCGGCCCAAGCAGGTCCCACACAGGGTGCAAAGAGCCTGAGGTCTTGAGGGCCAGAGGCCCCACACAGAGGGGCCCAGAAAAGCCCTCGACCAGCAGGGAGGTAAGGCCCCGGGCCAAGGACCTGGGATGTGAGGATTTGGGGCGCTCTCCTCTGGGCCCCTCACCAAACCAGCAGGCCTGGGCAGCTGTGGTCAGGCGTGGACCCTCCTCCACCCCCATTCAAACCCAGTCCCCTGGAGCCCCGTGTAGTTCTGCTTGCAAAGTGCAGGCGGCAGCCTCCACAGCCCCCACTCAGCACCGTCTGCGGGGCCAGGTTGCCGTGCTCTGGAGCACAGCTCCGCTAATAAATCTCCAACCTGAAGCCCTTGACTGCCTCCGCTGGGAACTGAAGCGCAGCCTTTTCGAGCGCCCCGCTGGCTGCCCCACCGCCTGCCAAGCTTCTCACATAACCGCATAACCTCCCTGCCAGGGCCTTGCCTCGGCAGGCAGGCAGCATTTCTGGATGTGCCCTTCTTCTCAATCTTTCCCACCCCCTGCCCTCACCTCACGGCTCCTGAGCGCTCACATTTCTATTCCCAGCCAACCATGTTTCAATCCTGTGGGAGTTCAAAGAAACCTTTAGAGGATTTTGAACTTGGCAGTGCCCTTCTCCCCTTGAACGTGGCCACACCCAGATGGTGGGAGAGATTTGGTCCCCGAGCTTGGGAGACCAGGGTTCTCAGTTCCACCTCAAGCTCTGTGACCCCGGGGAGGTCACACACATTTTGGCTTTCCCACCTGGGAAGAGGACATTGGGCTAAACACACACTGAGCCCCGAGCTCAGACATCCTTGGCATGGAATGGCTCCATTTGGTTGTCTGACTGTGTGTCGTACAGCTCAGTGAGGGCAAAGCTCTGCAGAGCCTCCCGTCCCTACCGACTCGCCGGTTCCCTTCCGCAGAGGCCCCAGGAGCATATCCTCGGGCTTGATTCTACCGGAGCTGGCCCCAATCCAAGCTCGTCTCAGCAGAAGTGCTCTCTCTCTTTGCCAGAGCGCCTCACTCATAGCAATTCATGTAGACATGGATGTGCTTACTTGTCTCCCCTTAGCTCTTGAGAAAAGAATTTATGCATGGCTTCATTCATATAGTCAACACATTTCATAGTAAATGCCTACTATGTGCCTTGCTAGGTGCTAGGTAGGGGACATGGTCCCAGCCTTCAGGGAGCTTACAATCTAGAGAGACATAAGTGAATCAAATAACCACACAAATCCATCATAACAACCGTGGCAGGAGCTATGAAGTGACGTGTGGAGAGCTGTGAGTGTGTGAGGGGTCAGAGAAGCCTGAGCACCACAGCCAATGGAGGCTGAAATCCCAGGGTGAGTCAGATGAATGGGAAGGGCAGGGGGAGAGCATGTCAGACAGAGGGCCAGCATGTACAGAGATTCGGAGCCCAAAGGAAACCTGGCTAGAGCAAAAGTGGAGGGTAAGGAGAAGCGTCTCATTCACCTTTGTGAATCAGGACCTCAAATACTTGGCATTTACCATCCAAACACAAGAAATGTTTATTGAATGAATGAATGACTTGTATAAATTCTCCTTTCTGACAGGCATCAAGCTCCCCAGTTTGTGCAGACTAGAGAAGCTTTTTTATTCTTCCTCATTGCTACCCATCCTTCACGATAGAGGAAACCGTGAAAGTAGGTTTCCTAGAGTCCGCACTGGGAAATTATGCCCACAAGTTCCAACATGGAGATGGGCACTGTTTCTGTTTAAATATAATGATTTAGGTTAAATATATTCAGATTAAAATGCTGTTGAAAAAGTTGGAGGCTTGCCAGAGTTAACAAATTAAAATATCCCATGCAGCCACTGTGGAAAACAGTATGGCAGTTCCTCAAAATGTCATACATAGAATTACCGTGTGATCCAGCAACTCCACTTTTAAGTACATATACCAAAAGAATTGAAAGCAAGGGATCAAACAGATACCTGTGCACCAACATTCACAGCAGCATTATTCACTACAGTCAAAAGGTGGAAACAATCCCAATGTCTACCAACAGATAAGTAAATAAACAAATTGGGTATAGCCATACAGTGGAATATTATTCAGCCTTAGGAAGGAATGACATTCTGATACATGTTACAACATGGGTGAAATTTGAAAATATTATGCTAAATCAGACACAGGAAGACACATCATATGATTCCACTAATATGAGGTACCTAGAACAGGCAAATTCAAAGAGACAGAAAGTAGATTAGAAGTTACCAAAGGCTGGAGGGAAGAAGAATAGGGAATTACTGCTTAACGGGTACAGAATTTGGGATGATGAAAAAGTTCTGGAGATGGATAGCAGAGATGGTTGCACAACGTTGTGAATATATTTAATGCCACTGAATTA